CATTTTCTTTACCTCTATCAATCATCATCTCCCAACTCTTCTGACCTTTACAGGAATTTTCCACTCTATCAATAGCACTATGTCTTGTACCTGCAATACAAACGTCTTTGGCAAGCTTAAAGAGCTTGCGGACTCCAAAGCCTCTAGCAAATGGGATGTCCTCATGGTCCTCAGCGAGATGCAAAAAGAGATCGGCAGACTTCTCACGGAGACAGTATCTGCCAATGACTGCCCATGCCATGGAGTACGTTTCCTCCGTTTTCTATACTAGGTGCCTAGCTATCATACGCTAACATTTCCTAAGAACTGTGTGAAAAAGCCACCAAAGACTGTCCAGGACTTCCTCGACCATATCAACAGCGTTCTCAAGGACCAAGGACTTAGTGACTTCTACAAGCCCGATGACCTACGTCTAAAGGAAATTGCCGAGAAGGCCGCCGAATATGCCAAAAACCATCCCGACGGGCCTCTTGGGAAGCCGGAAGATACCGCAGATCTCTGCCAGCTCGGTCTCTACGACAATATCTGTTTCCTCGGTACTCCCCAACAATCCTTTCTCTTCATATCATACATGCTTACATTTCAAAGACGACAGTGGCTCCATGAAAGAAGATAACCGTATCCAGTCCCTCAAGGAAATTCTCAAGCGTGTCGTTTCAATCACAGGTCTTCTCGACTTCGATGGTGTTCAAATAAGATGGCTCAACTATGCCAACGATTCCACCATGAATGACATCTACGAGCCGGCTGGATTGACCCCGATCTTTAATGTTGTCAAATTCGACGGGTCGACTCCTTTGGGGACGAAGCTGAAGCAGAAGGTCATAGACCCGATGATTGTGGCGAAGTTGGCGGGAAAGCAATTGAAGAAGCCGATTATTGTGAGCATCATTACAGATGGTGAAGTAAGTTATTTCCTTTCTACCCACAGATACTATGGCTCTATCCAACAGCCCGACTGACAATTGGTTCAAAAAGCCCAACGAAGAACCTGTAGATCAGCTTGAGAAGTCAATCAAAGAGTGTAAAGACGCACTCGTGAAGAACGGCTACAAGGAGAATCGTAAGTACTTCACCTGACATGCTCGTGTTATCTACATTCGCTGATCCCGTACCAGACGTTTTATTCCAGATCAGTCAGATTGGTAACAGCAAAGGCGCTGAGAAATTCCTCAACGACCTTAAAGCCGACAAGAATATCCGCAGACTTCTCTACCTCACATCTGGTAACTATATCCCACTGTCTCTCAAGATGTTTATGTGCGATAACTAACCACCCACTCCATAGGCTCTCTTGATAAGCAGATGGAGTTGTTCCATGAGCAGGAGAATGAGCTTCAGAAATGGGTATGAATCTCCCTTCCCTAATTAATTCTTATAGCGCTGTCGAGTTGATAACTAACTGGTCTCGTCTAGTTGCTCAATATCATGTTGGCGCCTGTTCGTCCAGGTGCTTCGGGTCCTTAAGCTATTCCGAGGCTGTTCTTTTGAACCTGTTTACGCCCCACCTCTTCTTTTTTATTGGACAAGGAATTTAGATTCTTGAAATCTTTATGGAATTAGCAAGAAAAACCATCTGCACAGATCAATTATTTGAATTTCACGTAGCCTCACAAAAACAATTATTGCCATACCAAGGAAACTGCGGTCCCCGCTTAAGACTTGCAGTAGGAAGAAGTATGTTCCACCGCTTAGCCTTGTGACATCTCTCGTCTGAGCCAACGTGTCACGTGAACACTATCGAGTGATAGTTCATGTCCGTGTCTTATAGTGTAGGTTACACGTATGTATCACTTGGGCTGCAGCTGCGTGTCTCACTGGCCCAGGGGATACGGTTACATCAAGCGTAGGGGTTCTCTGCGGCACCACATGCACATCAATGCAATCACCACCACTCCTCCATACTCGCATTTGAGCATAACCTATTCCGGCGATATCACAATCACAAACAGCCTGAAATCATTTAATTTTAGTGAACGAAAAATATTCCTAATCTTAACCCGCGATCAATCATGCGTACAGAGTATTTTACACCAATACTTATACCCTTTGGTAGGATATACCAAGTTATTTTTCTATCTCTGGATATCTTCATTGGCTATCAGCTAACTCCATGTACTAGGGTGTAGCGAAAAGTGATCAGAATCTGATAAGACAAATATGGTTCCCCCAGTCTTAAAGGTAACATGATAAAAACGCCAAGTCTCGAATAACTTTTCAACCACGATTGATATTAAAAATCTGGAAAGAGAAAAGCTGGATACCATGATGAAGAAGAGTTTGTCTTTCCAGATTTTTAATATCAATCGTGGTTGAAAAGTTATTCGAGACTTGGCGTTTTTCTCATGTTACCTTTAAGACTGGGGGAACCATACATGTATTCACCGCAACATTCACTTATCAGATTCTGATCACTTACCCTCAACACCTGGTACATGTGGTCTACTGTCAGCGCTTTATCCAGTCACTGCGCTTACCACAATCATCAAGCCCAAGTAGTTCAAAGACTGCTGCTAAGCTCGAAGTCCGAATCCAAAGAAAGATAAATATGTCTTCACTCATTTACAACTGATGAAGCTTTGGAGCCCTTCTCTACTAATTCTTGCATTTCATACGAGACTATGTTTCTGTTTCTGAGAGCAATTGACCAATAAGCATCTGGAGATGCTGGCACTGGTCTATTGCGCATGTTAGATATCGCATTTGAGCTCTACACGGATCTCATTCATCTTGAGATCTCGGTCTACATGGCTAGATTGGCAATAGCCTTGAACCACGATCAACCGGAAAGAAGACGCCTGCTGTCGATAATTTACAGTGTCTTTCACCCCTATATATAATCTACTCAAGTCTTCGTGGCACTGCCCTCGGCTTCCTCTACCTCTGGACTATTCTCATCGTCTGAATGGCCTTGTGGATTTGATTTAATCACCAGCTCCTTCTTCAGAGATATGACCAGCCCTGCGATCCTCTCTCGCAAGGACTCGTTCTTTATCCTGTCGAGCTGAGCCTCCTTAATCTTGATCTGCTCAGTGAGTTCCTGGATGTCCCTCAACCTGATCTCCTCTGGATCGTCTTCATCCTTTTCGGCCTCTACGGGCTCTCGCTCTTGAGCCTCTGGCTCCTTCTCTTCGTAAGCCACCCCCTCAAACACCTTCTGGAAGACCTCCAGCTGCTGCTTCCCCTCCACCGTTTTCGCCGAGATCGCAAACACCACCTCCTCAACCCCCTCCCACACCTCCACCTTCCCCCTCCCCCCCTTCCCAGCACCCACCAAAACCTTCCTCCACCCCTCCGCCACCTCCTCCACCGGATTCCCATACGCGCCACACCCCCACGCCCCCAGCACCACACCCCCCACCCCGCCCCTCGCCGCCGCCCTCATCACAAGCCGCATCTTCTCCCACATCTGCTCCCTATCCACCACATTCTCATACCTCCCGCCCTCGGTCTCGGGGAATCGAAGCGCTGCACAGCTAATCACATCCACGTAGAACCGGTCCCGCTTCGCCAGATCACGGTTCTCGTCGTCGCGGAAGACGAGAACGTCGGGTGTGTACACGCACCCGAGCGGCGGCAGACGGTAGTAGTCCTCGCGCAGCGACCAGTACAGCGTTGTCCGCACGCATAGTGATTCCTCTTGGCTCTGCGCGCCCGTGAACACGCCCCCGCCTGGGCGCAGCGGCGACGCCATACACAGCACTGCCGTCTTGGCGGGCGCGCTCTTGCCGGCCGAGGGCGGCGGGGTGAACAGCGATACGGCGGCGAGGGTGTCGGCGTCGACGATGCGGATGCGGAGTGCTGGTGGGGGTGCGGCGGCGCTGGGGTCGTCGTTGTGCTCGTCCTCGCGGCGCTTCCCTTTCGATTTTTTCTTGGGGTTGTTGCTGTTACCGCCGGGGTTGACGCGCGGGAGGTCGACCAGGAGGTGGGCGGTTTCGATGCCGCGGCGGGCGCGCGGGATGGAGTGCAGGAGGGCGGGGACGGTTTTGTGGATGGTTTCTTTGGCGAAGCGGGCGCGCTCGGTGCGGCGGATGTTGCCGGGTTGGATGGGGTCGGTGGTGTCGCGGCCCATTGTTTGTGTGGTGGGGTTGGTGGGGTGTGTTGGGGGGGGGGGGGGGGTTTGTTGGAGGTTGGTTAGTTGGAGGGAGAGATGGAGGGAGTTGGTGTATCGCGGGGTTGGTTGGTTGGAGGTGAGGTGAGGTGAGGTTTAGGTTGGCGGTGACGTTTACCGGCATGTGGGTGGGCTGCTGTCTAACTGACTACACAGAAGTCTATTACTTTACATGCACAACGAGACCTATTGGCCGATACTTAGATTGGTAATAGATGCTGACAGCCAGAGCATATCTGATATAATGAGATGTTTTTAAAAATAATACTTCTACTTCTACTCCGTGTTAGTTCGCGAGGTTGACCGACTGTGGGGCTTGCAGGGATGTGTCATTACTAACACGGATTTGTTGGCAGATCAATCATTGACACTCAATCGCTAAGCAGAAGTGGGGATAAATCATTGAACCACACACGGTTTATCTAGGAATGGAATTTTTGACGTTTAAATGAGTCTATAGTGAATTTATTTTTATAAAGGAGGTAATGAAAGAGATTAATCGAGAAGACTTATTGACAACTAAGTACATGTAGTGCAATATTTAATGACCAAAAAAATCAGGTGAACGATAAATAGATATTAATGGGTATTACGGGTACTCGAAATCAGAAAAGAATTACAATGAAGAAAAGAAAGAAGAAGAAGAAGAAAAGAAAGAATAAGAATGATAAGGTCTTCTTTATTTATACAAGAGATAACTATAGCTGGAAGCGAATCCTACTTTGCCAAAGGCAGGACTCAGATACACACAGCTATGTACTCGACAACCAGAAATCAAAGTACAAAACACCACTAAAAAAAAAAATACAACGAAACTCAAACTCGACAACCATCAAGTCATAAGAATGACCGCGTAAAAAAAGAAAAAGAAGGAAAGAAAAAAGCCAATTTAAATATCCCGCCCAATACTCATCAGACTCCCATACCCATTGGGACTATCCGCCACGCACCCCTCATGCTCATATCCCCGCTGTATATCCTCGAGCGCCGACATGCAGCACTGCGCGATTTCCTTGCCCTCATACGAGAGCCTCGCCGTGAGCAGGCAGTTGCCACGGGTGGCAGCATTGTATGCCGAGCGCAGCGAGAAGATGGTTGGCCCCGCGGCCTCGGCGCTCCAGAGCTGGAACTCCCAGTGGTCCATGTGCGAGTAGGTGGTGACCTTGTGTCTGAGCACGCTCTGGGGGTGCGGGTATTCGCTGCCGGCGTAGCCGGGGGTGGAGGGCGAGTGCATGAGCTCGCGCTTCTCGCGGGTCCCTCTGTCGCATTTGAGCAGTTCCTCTTCGGTATAGTGACGTGGGGGCTTGCGTGGGAGGTGGGAGGCTGCCGGGGGGGGGGGATATTAGTATAAATTTGAGATTACGTGAAAGAAGGAAGGGAAAAAAAAAAACAAGAGAGAACATACTCGGAATAGAATGGGACACCTTCGTCGACCCCGCCCTATGGAGCGGATGGCACTTAAAGAACTCGACCGCATTCTGGGACGTCTCCACATCGCCATTACGATACACCAGCACCTGCAGCGAGAAGCGGTATGCCATATCTTCCGACACGCCAAGATGGTACTTGGGCCTCGTGAAGGGAATGTATCTCGAGTGCGTCTCCGAGCAGTAGTTGAGCACAAGATCCGTCTTCTCCAGGTCCGTCAACGTCTCAAATTGCCTCATGGGCCCGCACAGCAGGTCGAAAGGATCGCGGACAAGGCCCATAACCTCCGGAACGTAGTTCATGGGCCGCGCGGGGCGTGCGTGGGGCTGGGCCATTACGCCCCCTTGAAGACCAACTTGGGCTCCCTGACGGCGTGCAAGGGCCTGGCTGTCGGGAGGGGAGGGAAGGCCATATGGGCCTGCTGGAGGAGGCTCGGGACGTGAAGAGCGGGGGAAGCGACGACGGGTCCCGCCACGCCTTAGGGGTGGGGGTAACGCTTCGAGGTGGGTCCTCTTGGTGGCTCTGGAAGATGGGGATCCTGAGCTGCTTCTGCCTCTTTTGGTACCGTGTAGCGGGGAAGGTCTCCTGCCGCGGACACCTTGCGCTGGGGTTTACTGTCAGATGTGTGTTATTACTCTTGGGGGGTGGAAAAGGGAGACTTACAATCGTTGTTTGCGCTTGAAGCGCCTTCATCATCTGAGATCTCAATGATCCCTTCCGCGCCCTCGTTGGTGATGCTATCCACCCATCCTTCGACGTCGCCTTCGCCAGCCAGAAAACCCAATCTACCATAACCACTAAATGGCCCAGGACCCATACCGTTACCAATGTTTGTACCGCGGAAATATGGATCAAATGCACCATCCGCATCCACAACGACTACATCTGCGATACCATTACCACGCAGCTGACCGGAAGCTGGGGGCTGGGCCAGCCGAGGGGGTTCAGGACCTCGGTCCTGGCGGAAAGGTGCGAATTGGGGACCCACTGCGTATTTTATAATGCGTGGTTAGTTATATGTACACAGATATACTATATATAAAACTCACATTCCAGCCCCAATGAAGCAAACGCAAGAACAAAGAGGGAAAACTCACTCTTATCCAGATGCGCAGGATAACAACCCGGCGGATCGAGCTCAACCCAATTACCCCCTCCTCTCACCACCTCACCACCACTACCAGCAGCAGCAACACCACCACCTCCTCTCTGCCTCTGCACAACCGCATTCTCCTCCTGCTCCCCCAGCTCGATAAACTGCCGATTGTGGATCTGGTTATCATCGGGAAGGCCATGCAGCGCACCGATTATGTCGCCGTAGTTGTTTCCGCTCCTAGCCCAGAACGTTTCAGCGTGTAAGAGGTTCCCGAGGGTATGCCCGCCCAGCTCCTCGATGATCTGGTTGGGGTCGTAGTTCCGCCTGTTGTTGTGGGCGGCGTCGCGGTCTTGATGGGCGGGGCCCCGGAGGAGTGGGTGGATTTCTTGCGGTGGGCTGGGGATGAGTGGAGCGGGGAGGAGTGCCCGGGTAGGTGGAGCGGGGGCGGCGGCCATGGAAGGCGGAGCGGGACCGGGGATGAAATGAAAGGGTGGAGCAGGGGGAGGCTCCTTCCAGGCTGGAGCGGGGGCGGCTGTCATGGAAGGTGGAGCGGGACCGGGGATGAAATGAAAGGGTGGAGCGGGGGGAGGCTCCTTCCAAGCTGGAGCGGGGGGGACTGCTCTGGCAGGTGGGGCAGGTGGGGTAGGTGGGACGGGAGCGGGGTGGAATTCCCTGGTTAGATCTAGGGTGGGGGGGACTGCGCTTGCAGCAGAAGCAGCAGAGGCTGGCCTAGCATATGGAACGAGGGGGCCTGCTCTGGCAGCTGATCCAGGCGATCGATCTACTCTATTAGTGGCGCTAGAGCGATATATGGAGGTGTTTATGTCAGAGTTAGGAACTCTGGGACCTGTATTGCGGCTGAGAAGAGCTGCGAAGGCATAGATGCCGAAGAGGAAGAGGAAAACACTTTGGAATTCTACTTCGTCTATCTGCTGGTTTTGGTCTATTTTTTTAAAAAAAGAAATGTTAGATGTTGTGTGGTGTGTGTGTGAGTGTGTGTGTGTGAGGTTTGGTACTATGGATGGACGTGGTGGAAGGAGGGCAGGGGTAATGATTGATGTGGCATGTTACGGAGAAGGGTCAGGACTTACTGTTTTTATGGGTGTTGTTGTTGTCACGCTCACTGCGGGAGGATCTTCTGCTAGGCGGCATTTTGAACTATGGTTCTGTGGGCAACGAGAAAAGGGAGATGTGTGTCGATGATGAGAAAATGGGAGGAGAGGAAAGAAGATTGATGGAAGAGATGAGAAGTTGGGAATGTGAGATGGGAAGTCGAAAATATGAGAGTCAGAGAAGAAAGCAATTGGGTAAGAAGAGGATTTATCTTGTTTTTGATTTGATGCGGGTTGCAAGATCAATCAAAGACAAGATGTCGAAAACAGAAAACGAAAAATCGATGAAAAAGTTTTTTTTCAAAGATTTTTGTGTTCTGTGTTTGGAAGGTGGGGAGGAAAAAAGGAGGGAAGAAAAAAAAAGAAGAGAAGAAGGAGAAGATGTAGGAGCGAGGAGCGGTGGTTGTGGACTTGGCATTGTTCTTTCCGGGGGGGGGAGGGGGGCGCTCTCAGGTTGTCCATTGAATGGGTCATTTAAATCATGATATATCACTCGATGCCAAGATTACATGTACTTCTTTTTTTTTCTATTTTTTTTTTTTCTCTTCTTATTTTTGCACGACTAAAGAGTGAAACAATGAACACATGTATGCTTTGGGGACTTTTAGAGAAACTTTTTTGTCTCGTTCACCTCAGCCCTCGAAGATATCTATGCGCAAGTATGGACCCCAATGACACCTGTGCTCGTATTCCCGAATCCATATGGATTGAGGACGCAGTGGAAAGTTGAGAGTATGTAGTAGTAAACAAACTTCCCCATCAGTCTTAACGGGTTACCCAACACTGTATTCTGCTCGGCCAGCCAACGGCCTTAACCAGACTAACATGGGGAAGAAGATGAAATTGACGTCTAAAAACAATACATTTTATGTAACTTGGAGGAAGGGATCATGCAATGGCTCCGTCCTTTATCTCAATGTTACGGATTTACCCCTTCCCCCCTCTTTACAAATCGTTGAAGATGTCTACGCTTGAATAAATAAACTCATGAGTGGACCAGGGGCCTCCATTATCTCGATGAGTGATGTTTGTATCTGATCTATAGTCAGCAGCTAAAGAGAGAATACTCTCGATTTTTCATACCCACAGAAGGTTCTAAAGATGTAGTCGTTAACTTAAACAGTAAACCCCTCCAAAGCTGAGCTCACTCAAACCCAAATGCCCATATTACCCCAATTCCCAACTATCGCCCTACCCGCGGTGTAATGCCAGCTACAATCTGACTGACGCTCTCTTCTGCTCGGTGATGTTATCTCTTCGTGCCTGGGGGGTTTTTAAATTAAGGTAATGATGATTTTGACATGTTGATTGAATATCAGCTCACCCACGTTGGTTACCATAGCGACGTTGAAAATCAACTATCCAGGTCGCTAAAATAGGCTTAGCGGCTGAACAATTAATAGGGTAGCGGCACGGCCAAAGTTTTACGGTTTTAAGTAATTTACATATCTCTCGATTTGGTGTAGGTAGCACAATCCTACTTGTTACACAGGAATCTAGTTAGGTCTCGTTCTTCAATATACGATCTCACAGAAAGCATCATGTGTGTTTCATCTCTGGTATCAGCTCTTGGGATAGATGCATAGATATCTTGGCCATGGGCTAATTATTGTAGGGCTCAAAACCGCTCGCCACTGTAACTCCCTTCATCCCACGAAAACTTTGGTAATTTGAACTCTGGCGACGTAGTATGATCCCTGCTCCTAAGATCATGGCATATCACTCGTACATCACATGTATGGGTTTGGTATCTCCGAACACTCTGGAACTTTATTCGATGAGCGAACTAATACAAAGTCTACCCAAACAATCACCCCTCAGCTTTCCTCAATAAGAACCGCTGCTCTATTATCTATACCAAGCTTACTTATATTACAGTACCGTAGCCTATTTCAGTTTGAATGATTCCTTGTCAATTTGCCACTAAATCAAGGTACATGCACCCAGGTATTAACTGACGGTACCCGTCCGCATTCACCCCCCACCAACTACTACCGAATTCCCCACATCTCCACCAGAGCGCCCTCAATTGCAGCCGCGGAACATCTCGTTCACCTCTCAAGCCACCCGATGTCTCGCCTCCCTGCATCCGAGGACTTGGCACAGCCTGCATTAACGCAACCGCAACCCAATTCCAACCTCACCCCAAACGCCCACCCCGCCAGCAATTGAAGATGTCCGACCACCTAGACGAGCTCATGCTCGCATATCTCGATACAATCGATACATACCAATCGCAATGCGCCACTCTAGCTTCCGGCTTCTCGAACGGCTTTATGGCGCTCGCGCAGGCGAACTTCAATACGCCGGGGCGACGCTTCGGCCAGGATTTCTACGACGAGAGGATGGTTGCAATGCGGGGTGTGGAGATTAGAGAGGGAGATGAGGGGATTATTTTCGAGGGAAAGAAAACCCCGATTGAGGTGACAGAGGGTAAAGGTGGGAAAGAGGAGGCCCAGGAGAAAGAAGATGGCGAGAAAGAAGATGGTCAAAAGGAAGACGTTGGAGACGAGAAACCGGAGGACAGTGAAGCCGCCAAAAAGACTCCAAAATCAGACCCAAGAGACCCTCTTCGGTGGTTTGGGATTCTGGTACCACAGGCGCTCAGGACTACCCAGTCAGAACTCACCACCTGCGTCGATGTTATTCCACAGCTCCTCACGACGCTCTCAAAGCTCTCGTTTCTAGAGTCCCAAGTGATTCGAGCTAGGACAAGGCATCTGTATAAAATCCTCCCAGAGGCTCCACCCTCGCCTCTTCCCGAAGCTTTGCCGCTGTCGCCACTGGACGCGGGGGATGGGTTTATCCACATGTGCACATCTACGCAAGTCTCGGGGGTTGTAGGAAGGTTTATGGGCGATACAGAGAGTGTGTGGCTGCTGAAAATCCCGATCGAGAGGGTCGAAGAGGGTCTGAGGTGGGAGGGATCAGTGGTAAATGGTGGGATTGGAGAAGAGTTTCCGCATCTTTATGGTGCAGGGATCGGGGAGGCGGAGATGCTGGACTTGAAGGAGTTCAAGAAGGGCGAGAATGGATGGGGTGGGGTTTTCGAGGCGGCAAGTGAGTGGATAGAGTCTTGAGGGAAATGTAAGACATGGTCAAATAGGAGGACCCGAAATCGGATATATTGTAATACGATGGCAGATTTATGATGCGCACCTTACCTATGAGTATGGGAGAAACTCTTCTTGGATTCATGGAGTGGTCAAACGTTCTCTCATGAAATCTCACTCGGAACTGTAAACCTCAAAATGGTTTGAGAGATTGCCAGTATAAAGGATATCTCTCCGATTGGAGGCCATATTTTACTTCATTAAAGCGCAATTGGCATATCTACATGACGTAGTCGTCTATTATATATAAAGCTGTTTCACGAGTATTCGTAAGCTTCAAAAGGATGATATGATAACAAAGTCGTAGATGAAGCCAGAACTCAGTTTTCCCCACGCACGTGAAGATTGTAGGCCCGCTAGAGGCTACATGTACGTTTACAGGGATAATTATACACGGCCCCGTTCACAATCTTCACCCAATATCTTTTACAGGTTTCCCAGGCAGCATTAACAATAAGCATTACTACATGTAAGTTCTGTATATCTAGTATGGACGGTAAATTCTCTGGATAGTTCCCCACGCCCACCGGTGACGCGTTCATACGGTGGGGTTGCAGGGTTTATCTTCTTCTTGATGATTGTCGTCACGAACTTCCGTCAAGTCTCGACCAATTAACAGCGCAGCCTCATGTGGAGTTGATAGAGGCCACTTGAAATTCCCTGCTGGTAGGGATTCGGCCCGCTGCATCAACTGTCTGCAGTCATCGTGTTTCAGCATCACGACGGATCTAAACGGCGTTACTAGAACATCATCGCTCTTGGCGAAGACCAGGCTGATGGTTACATTTAAATACACGAGACCCTAATCGTCAATTAACTCTTCTCGCTGTCATCTTCACTGTGGCTCTTGGACTTTGTTACCTGGAAACTCGAGCCTGCCAAATGAGGTTGGCAGGAAGGCACTGGGCTAGAGTAACTTCGCATGCGGCTGCATTCGTCATTCCAGGGATATCAGAACTTTGTTCAAGTCTCAGGTCTATGAATGCCTTGGGATTCTTAGTTTTGAGCCATGCATTGGAAGATATTAACATAACACAATGTCAGAAAATCGGATGGGATAGACAGACGTGAAGCAAACTACTGCTAACTCACTCCTCGCGATATTACCTCCTCCGTAGCACTACATGTAGTCATGATTCCTAAGGCTAGCTTATATTTGATCCTCGTGCTAACCCCACCCACGTGATGCCAGAAGTGTGCCTACGCTCACCGGTATATAAGCTTACTCACATCTGCCGCCAGAAAGAAGGTTATGTCGATCTTGATCAACGTTCTGAGTCAGGGCAACATTCGCCAACAGATAAGAAAAAGATAGGCAGTCTTTTGTTGATAGGGTCGGGGAATCCGGGCAAGAGGTGTATCATGAGGCAATTCCCAGCTTACCCATCCGAGTACCTATCCAGAAGATGCGCATACAAAGCCCCTTGCAGTAGGGCTACTACATGCATATCATAAGTTTGGCTTATGCCTGGCGTGGTCCTTGCTCTTTCACTGTCAACTCATGCGCAAAATCCGTCGGGTTGGGTCAGGCATTGCGGGCACACAGTGTGAAACTAGGGAGACGACGTCGTGTCGTCGATGAGAAGAGCGTGCTCGATGAATTGTTTGGGCAGCCTTAGTCGAGCATGGTAGGTTCTTTGCGAGCAGAGGACATGGCTTTCTTGGCTTGAGACAGCGGGTTCTCCATTGGTAGAATGTTTCTTTTGGGACCGAATGGTTGCCAGCAGAATATGCCGAAACCTCATGTGCCTCTCTCCTTACGTTGGTACTAATATTTATGCTCTTTCTATTCCTTGGAAATTATACTAAGATGGTATGCATATATACACAACGTCCGTCCATGGTCAGGTGTTCTGCAGTAGAAAAATCGGGCGTCGAGTAAGCAACACTACCAGTGTGGATCTGTAGCCAGCACTCTATTAAAGTGCAAATATCCCACCAATCGCCAGCGACCCTGCTGCAGTGTAGAGTAGAATTCCAAAAATAAACCTAATATTATTAATAACTAGTGCGCAATCGGTTGTTAAAGTTGCACCTCGTTAACAAAACAAAATGTGGGTGTAAGGAGCCACTCGTAGTGAACGTGGTTCCACTGCGCTGGCCTGTCGTGGGTGTTATCGATATCCACGTCATTAACAGGGCGGCGGGTATTTGCACTTCTGTGCGACCAATGGATAACGACACTCACTGTTGGTTGGCGTAGTTGGCCTTGTACCCGTTTACCACGAAAAGAACCAGAAAATGCAAGTGACGGAAATAGGGATAATTTGTATGAGAGATCACCGCCACCCTATACAAATAATCCTTGCCCTGAGCAACTGCATTTTCTGGTTCTTTTCGTGGTAAACAAGTACGTTGGTTAGGTTGGGTTGTGTTGGGCACAACACTCTCTTTCTTTCTTTTTCCCGCAATTTGGATAGATATTCCCGAAACCCAATATTCCTATCTCATTTCCACTCATCCCGCAACCGCTTTTTAGAAAGACCTAACCTAACCGTATTCACATAAAAAAAGATACAATCAAAAGAATAAATCCAAAGAATAGAAGAAGAAAAAAAATAAGGAGCCTTTCTAAGGAATGAGAATAGAAAAAAAAGTAGTAGTAGGAGAGTCCCCGCCCAACCAGCTATTACACAATATCCCGCCGCCTAGCACTATACACTAATTTATCTACAGAGTTCCGCCGGTTTTATAAAGTGCTTGCATATCCTTCCTTGCGCGTAACGGGAAGGAAGGAACACAGCATGCCAGCTTCATTTGGTCGCTTAAACCCAGAACAAAAAAGACGAATTAAGTAAGTAATGAGAGAAACGAAATAAAAGAAGATACTTAAGTATATTGTCCATAGAACAATCTCGGAAGAAAAGAAAGTAAAAATAAAAAGAATGCATAAAAGAAAGACGTAATGAAGAGAAGGATTGGGGGCGGGAGAATTAGATTTGTATACTTGAAAAGAATCAAGCAACAAAATAACTTTCCATTGTTCGTTTGATCTTTGCGGATGCCGTCTCTGTCGCGGTGGTAGTATTCGTCGAGTTTGCAGCGGCGCTTCCAATAATACTTCCGTTTGATAATTCGATGCTACGATTATCAAAATCGACCGTGATATTGTTGCCGACTGAAAGATCACCAAAATCTCTCCCCGCAGTGAAATATGCCTGTAATTGGGACTGGGCCTCGCTGGCAATCGTGAGTGTCTGGGCGTTGGTGAGATATAGAACGGCCACTCTTGCAAAGTCAATTGCATCCGAATCAAGTTCAACTGTTCTCGAATCTGTGGAGGAAGTTCCAGTTGCAGTAGTTGTAGCTGCGGCTGCCGTTGATGTAGCGGTATCTGTCACTATGGCTGTCTGCCTTTTTTCCAATTCAGCAATGGCTGCTTCCAGCTCCCTCTTCGCGGTTGTGGTAGTGGCACTGTCGGGTATGGCTTCTCCATTGAACGTAACAAGTGCATTCTGCGCAGTGCAAGAGATGGATTCATTACTGAAGACCGCCAATAACATTGCCATGTCGAGCTCGATATTGTAGTACGGATCAGCAATGTCAAAAAGTCTCGGCAAAGCATTTCCCATCGTGACATTCTGGATGCCCTTAATCCGTCCGCCGTTGCGATCCTTCAAGTCAACAGTAGTGCAACTTGAATCAGCCATCTGCGTACAGTCCGATCCAGTAAACCCGTTTGTGCAAACACAGCCACAGAAATCACTAGTTGCAATGTTCTCTCCACCATTCTGACAAGGATTCTTTTCTTTGCATTCAGCCACAAGAGCTCTGCCAGAATCGTTATTGCCATTTTTGTCCGATTTCGATAGATTTACTAATTGAAGGGGTACAATAACTGCAGCGCAGATGACGAGGAGCGCAAGTATAACAAGAAGGACGAAAGCCCACAATGGCAAGCCACAAACTCGGCGGCCCTGCTTTTTAGATGGTCGAATTGAGGATTCATTTTCGTGTGTGAAATCACCTGGTAGTGGCCATTGGGAAAGTGTTCGAGAGTTTCGGTTCTTCCCTTGGGCGAGAACCGGAGGAGGGAAAGATGCCAAAATGTCAGATATTGAGTCAGTGTCTCTGCTTCGGCCTAAACACATATAAGATTACCATCAACATATGCCGAGAATTTAAAGTAATTAGGGTTAATCATACCACCAGACGAACTATCCATGTAGCTAGCCCCTCTGCCCCCCCACCTTGAATCTGGCCTCCCAGTCTCCAAAACAGCAGCAAGCTTTGTTGCCCGTCTGATTAGATCAGGCAAGCTAGTCAAGCTACCTCTAGCCTCTGCTTCACGAACAGCATCAAGATTCAACCTTGGTGGAATTCTCCGTCCCGCCAAACCTCCAGCAGCAGGAGGAGGAGCTCTTGGGGCTGTACCTGCAGTAGGCTGGAGCTCATATGCCGGGGAACTGCTTTGCGAGGCACGCCTCGGGAAACTCAATCTTTCACTCATGTAGTCTCCAGGTGTGTATGCAAGTGGGGGTGTGATGATAGGAGAGTCACTTTCTGTTGATGAAGAAACTGGTGATTGAGCTTGCGGGCTGGGTAGGTACGGCAGAGAAGCTCCAGAGCCCCCTACGACGGGGTTCAATGTTGGGGAACTTTTTTCAGCTGGCGACCTCGATGTTCCACGCCCGGCACTGACTGAACCACTCGCGCTACGGCCCGTCTTAAACGACTCACTTGAAGATTTACTGGATGCAGCGGCCAACTTTCCTCCACCAGAACTCTTAATTTCTGTAATGACAGGCCTCGATTTTCGCCCAAGACTTGCCTGTCTAACCAACCCTCTTTCTTCGCCAACGTCGTGAAAAGTTTCTTCTGGAAACCTAGAATCGGATTCGTCGCTATCACTATGGACATCATTACGGCGGTTGGTGTAGTACTCCTCCACCTCTTCGGGAGCGGCCCAGTTAGAAGGGATCGCTGTACTCGAAGCGTAAGACCCATGGCGGTCCGACCCTGACGACTCTTCTGGAATTGGAGAAACCATCAATGCTTGTTGGGAGTAATAAGAAGATGTTCCACGACGCGCAGACGGAGGAGGACCAGTGCCCGAAGATTTCCTGTTTGATCCAGAAGCAGGCGGCACGGAAGGAAAATTTGGTATCACTCCCAAAGAATTTGGGTCGGTGGGCGGGGGATTTGAGGGGTCAAAGCCGATAAATATCGACCGTGAGCTGGACGCGGACGGACGATTTGTTGGAGGCTTCGCTGGCGATATTGGACTGTGTTCGTCATCCGATTGCTGGGAGTACCTGGTCTGAGTCCTAACTGGCTGTTGGTTCAAACGATACGAGAAATTGGGATTTTGCTGCACTTCTTGGACTTCAGACGAATCTAAGTTTGAGGGGACATAATCCCGTCTTACTGGTCGTGGTGGTGGAGGCCCTCGGCTCCCATTACTGTTATTATTACCAGGTGTTCTGGGCACTGGAGGTATTGGAAAACTTTGTTGTCCTCCATTTCCACCTTGTCGAGACGACATGGGCTGTTGAGGCCTTCGAGGTGGCTGCTGAATCGGTCGGGCTGAGGACCGGCTGCCCATGTCGGTAGGCACTGCAGGAAAGCCATGGATCGACGAGTACTCACTTGAAGGTGAGTACTGAGACCCGTCGTCCTCTTCTCTCCTTTGATACATATATTCTTCGTTGTTTCTTCTATTCCTGGATCCACTTCCTCCGCTACTTCCTCCACTCACTTCTCCTCTTCCAATAAAAGGATCCCTATATTGGCTCATGATGCGGGGAAAAAAAGTCGATTCGATTCAGCCGTGTACTTTTGCTTACTCTTCTACAAAATCTGGAGTCGGTAAGGCAAGTAAGTCCTTAACCCTGGTAGACTGGAAGTACAACAGACGCGGCAGTTGTTTTTTCTGATACGTATGCGACCGGTATAAGTGAGCTTTAACCGCTCAGCGGTGCTGTCGCTGGAGTTTCTAGAAACACTTCAACTATCAATTCTCGAGACTTTGAACTTGCGATATGTGTGGTGTATTTTTCCAGCTAATTTTCTTTGTTGGTGACTGATGCGTGTAGTGGGCCTTTTTCAGACAAGTAATAATATGGGTAGAGCGAATAAAAAATGAAAGTTGCTCAGCAAGAATAATTCAAACAAATCTTAACGAAAGACAGGGCGCCACAATCCGAATACTGAAAGTCGAAACCGAGATTGTTGATGCGACCGAGACAGGAGACCGCGAATTGTTAGGTCACAGCAGTAGCTCAAAGATTCCAACCGTGGTCGAATGTAGAAATGGCCGTATGTTCCAGCAAAAGCATCACTTTCCACAAACGGTAACCTCAGCCACCTTTTCAAGCTTACTCCAACTTGGGAGTTTATTGATGTATGTCGTTGATCGTATGTCGAAATGACTGCTGTCGTGATTTGATGCTATCAAATTTTCCGTCTGAAGTTCCTGACCACACGTTGAAAAGAACGACTGTAATGAGCGACTGCTTCTCTCACAAAAGAGACAAGTGGATTGGGAGGGGGGGGAAAGAGAGGAGACGAAGGGAAGGAAGGGACTAAAACCAACCAATGAATCGATCTGCTGCAAAGGATCACAAATATCTGTTCATCCAAATGAACTACTGCGAGGTTTCTCCTAGTACCTCTTGGTAAGGGAAGGGCAATTCTACTAGAATAGCCCGGGTGGTTAATATCCAATGGATATTAGTGTTGAATTTTGTTGGTTTGAATGAGAAGTGTGTTCCCGGTTCTTGCAAGTCCTGACGCGCGAGCAATCAAATGACTGGATTAAATGGGGTACAAAGAGTGTGTATTCCTGAAAACAGTCCAGTATTTTCAGAATTGGAACCATACAGGCGTCCCTGAGAACCCCCAAGATCGCCCCGTCTAGCTATTATGATTCACATAGTTAACGAGAGCACAGTCCGCCATTTGGGATACTAGAGCTGCTTGTCCCACAGACATAAACCCAAGGCTCATCGCTTCTACATCACAGCACGATGAGTATGAATCCAGGGCCCAGGGGCAAAAAACTGAGCACTTGCTTGACTGGGTGTTGCAAACACGCGGGTGGTGAAACCTGCCCCTGCAGTAACATCCCTGACGCACCAATCACCTACAGCCCCTCTTGAGTTCTTCGTCCCATCATTGCACAGATCTGGGACAGATGGAAACAAGATTTGCTCCAAAAATCGCTTCAAGCCGTTATCCTGAAGACTTGAGGTTTTCCATATGCGCGATATTTAAACGCTTTGTTCCGCTGCCAACGGCTGTTTGCACATTTACCTGCGAAAATTATCATCTATATTTACAGTTACTTCCTCTCTCCGCAGCCGCTACTACGCAGTGTACCAGAGAAATATGGTTTGAAAAAGGGGTGACCCTTGTAGTAGTGTTGTGTATTGTACTTTACACTCTGGAAACCCGACCATCCGAGATTCTCCTGGGCTCCTGAGGTTTAATCTTTGTTGCCAGGTTTAAGATAACAGCAGCCGAATATAGGGCTTTCGGACAAGGAAGGAGCAGGCAACTGCTGATATTGCAATGGACAATTTTGATAGATTATATTTGCGACGGACACAGCCATGCAAGGAATTGCGGAATCCCACTTTCGATGTTTTGCCTCCTCCTCCTCATTCTAATGACGTCAGCAAAAAAAAACAAGCTGCCCATGAAAAATGTGGAGATTGAACCAAGTTTCGGGGTCCACGATGATGCATTGGAGTCTTGAAACTGTGAGGGGAAAATAGAGACCGCCTGCTTGGGGAGGAAGATTCAGAAGAAGGGCACTCCCCGTACGACTACAGAGTGTCTTTGCCAAGAATCTAATATGCTAAACCCTGTGACATTATTGTCAACCGGTAGGGTACATGCATGTATGTAGCGAATAAGTTACTGAATATTCCTTGTAGGCGAACTTTCGTACAATATGAGGTTGCATCTTCTGTCATTCATATATCAAACGACAAAAATAGAGGACTGATCGCTGCGGCTCTGAGTTAAGGTTTTTGGTTAAGACAACAACAATGAGACCAGACCTTAAGCACACGTATCTACTATCAAGCCAAAGGATGTTCTACCAATCATTAGTTCATCTCAATTGAGATTTACTACACGGTGGCTCTTGTATCTTGAGGTCCTAGCTATCAAGCCACACGGGGCCACCCGCACAATGAACCCTCAAAGCCACGGCACCCCAATAAACAGTCTCTAGTATACCCGTTAGAATTATGGGCTCTCAGACCCCTTTCTTCCTAGGTAGCCGTTGCGAGTCTCAAGAAACACGCCTGTGCAAGACATCAAAACAGAATCACTTCTTACCTATCAGTTTGCCCGTATCGCGGCTGCGCTTGTCCCGTGTCCGTATTAGCTTGCAGGTCTTGCCGGGATGTTGACTATCCAGGGGAGCACGGGAAACAGGTTATGGACAAGCTTTCTTTCAAATTCGTCATTTGAATACCAACACCGGAGATGAGGCTTGAGGATCGCTAGCTAGCCCTAAAAAAAAAGGGTTTCTCCGCTGTGAATCCTGTGATATATCACTCAATCGCGTATTCTCGAACAGAGCTAAAGCAATCATCATCACGAGAGTACGTGCCTAGAAGAGATTTAATAGGCCAGTCGAAAACCTTAACGTATTTGCGCGGCCGCGTGAGTAGATACTTTCTGTGTTTATCATATCGTTATTAGTAACAGGAACTTTGCCCGGATCGACCTGAAGGCCTCGCCGAACTGTTATTATGTTTCAACAACTTCGCCAATCAGCCAGCACACCGATATAAAACACCCGGCTATTCAGCTCCTATGCACGTGTAGGGAGACTATCATCTTGCAAGAGACGATCCGGCCTGAGAATACCCTGTAGTTATGTTTGATAGTCCGGAAGGCATATGCTTGATTGGACTGCAATGGTATCGTAAGGGGGCGTGGTCTAGAAGGCATGATGCCCTTGGCCATGTATGTACTTCATCACTGCCACAAGAGCATGTCAACACATGCCATATATCCTAGTATCTACCCTATGTGTCTTTATAGTGATGACATAGATTATTTTTCCTTAAGATGCCACATTAGGATAGCGAGTGACTACCCGTGAGCCAAGACTACATGATGTAGCTCTCATACCTCTCTCCGACATCTTCATTCTCACAACCAACATCTCTCCGAACCCCAGGGCACCAAGTCTGGGGGAAAGTCTACGCCTGGTAACTTATCACTCTTTTACCGCTTTTTACATGGGCATACCAGCGATAATATTCGCTGGTAGGTATGCTGCATGTACGTTGGGATTGTACACACAGATGCAGCAAGGTACACCTTTTACTACTATATATACTAAACAAACGTAATCACCAGAAGCGAATACAACCTCTTCCTCTCGATTCCTGGCACTTAGGTATCTACACCGCTGTACTCTATAAGCTGAATTTCCCATCCGTATACCTTGGCCGGACCGACGCATGCGGTGCCAACTGAAAACTACTTGGAAGTGAAAGACATATGTGAATTCATGCTGAAACGCTCTAGTATCGTTATATGTGCTGGAGTCCTTATGGAATTTCTTTTCTTGAATAGAACTTGTAGATCCTAGGTTTATGAGGTACATATGGTTAATGGTCTCCTTTCCAGTCTTAGAGTTACGGCATAACGTTTTTATGATAAATCAACAATGCTGACGTTGTGATATGTAGGATACCTTGTATTTATTCGCTAACTACCCCAAAATAAAGGATTTTCTAATCGCATGTTCAAGCTAGAACGATACGCAGCACAGCGAGTTTTTCTTCCTTTTTTTTTTTTTTTTTTTTTGTTTATCTCATACTCGCATGCAACACTTAGGTTATGGCGGCGCACCTCCTCTCTAAGCAACCAATGGAGAGCTTCACCTTATAGAGACGTTAGCCTCAGGTGTGGAATCGCGGTGTAGCGGAACAAAGACCGTTCAATATTGTATCCTCCGCTCGATTTTATCGTGGCCCTTTCTTATGCTCTGCTATTTCTTGACTAAACTCAGTTGTTGTTTTTAAACTTTTTAAGATAATACGAACCTTATATTTCCAGATCTACCGTTTTACCCAATTCAAGACGTATCACAAGATATTGTTATCGAATCCTGCGGCTTACAGAGTCAGCTATTGCTTTTTTAAGGGAAGGATGGTGGTGAGTGCATACCTATGTTATATTCTTTTCGTAACTCCACACCAATTTGTATAATACACGACTGGCATGAACACCATTCATTCCTCCGGAGGCTAACCCCGTAGTACTAAGTAGACCATTTCCAGCATCAAGATACAGATAGTGGCATTCTTTCGAGAATTGAATTCAGCCCAAAACTTCATGTCCAATAGGTTTTGGGTCAATAATTTCGTAATGTAGTTGGAATAACACGGTGCTAGTCTACCCGTATTGAACACCACGTTGAACCCCGGGATGTATACACGTTTGAAGGCAACAGCTGCCATGTGATAGAATACGTCAACGGGGCCGTCCAAGCCATGTTCGAGAATAGGATCATACGCATTGATGCACTGTGTAAAGACAAAGTTGTGGAAGACCAGTCGTCTAAGCTCTCCCGGCATAAAGACAAATTTCTCCTTGAGGGCGGCCTCCGGAACTTCTGTGTTTTCTAGCCTGTACGGAAAATTATGGGCCGGGGCACTCATACGTAGGGTCGCCGCCCGTTGGTAGATGAGGATGACCTTTGCATTCTCCCATGATTCCCGATCCCCGATGAAGTTTTGGGCCACTTTGTGCTCGATTTGGGTCCTGTAGCGCGAGAAGATGGAATAGAATCCGCGGTTGAGAGCAGCGAATTTGTAAAGATCCCCGAAGCTGGAAAAGGCACAAAGGATAGAAATTATGTGGTCGTAGGACAGGAGGCCAATAGGCTGCTATTTTAATTTTGCAATGTGAGCAATAATCGAAAGAAAAGAATCGGTGGGATCTTCAACTTACCATCGGCATTTTGGGCGTCGGCATTAAGTGGGCGTTTTCTGAATTCATGAGAAATTTAAGACAAGAAGCGGGGATGTAAAGAGATTTTGTTGGTGGTGGTGACTGATGTGTGGATGAACGGCGGTGACGAGTTGGAAGTAGCTACGGGGTGGGGCACCTCATTTTTGAAGGTGCAAAACCTAAAGCTCCCGCCAAATTTATTGGGTGGTTGATCTTGGCGGGTGTTCTATACCAACGTTACTTTACCTTAAAATTGGGACACACACTATCAGAGACAAAACAAAACCCAACCTCATACCCGTCAGAGTGCCGATAAGCAGAAACAAGAACCTCCACAAGTACCATCGGAACGGTTTTTAACCAATAAGGCAGTAACCCGCCCTTTGTCTCTTTTTCAAAGAACCTTTAATTACAAACCCACTCAATATAGATACTACCCAACTAAAAAATTTAAACGTCTATGACTTATAAATCAATCAATTAATCACACTCCTTAATTAAGCTTCCTCCTTCAAGTGATGTATGTAACGACTTAATCAACCAACACACTCTCCTTATTGCTATCACCATAAGGTTATATGTAATTAATGAATTAAACAAAAAAAAAAAACCGTCGACAGTCATCATTCCGAGTGAGAATCAGTGATGCAGTGTTCTTTGGGCTGGAGGTACATGTGTCAGGCTAGGTACAATCCCCGATAGCCTAAAGTTGATATACCCGGGCTATTGGTTAGATCTACCAACATGAGCCTTCGTATGGCTGGCTAGGTGGGTGGCCATATGCTGGGATCAGAGCTATAGATTGAGCAATCGGGTTCAATCTCTTTTATATAGCCCATGACTGGTCTGGCTAATCTCATCTCACAGAATATGAGAACGTGATGTTACTAGTTACATGTACTTCTACAGCGCCCCCCACGTATAGATAGTAGAAAGGCCACGAACACGCCAGAACAATACATTTACAGATGTTATGATATCAATTGAACGGATAAACAAAGCAAGATATGTGTTCAAACTAGATATATACTTTGTTTGGCTTCGGTGCCTTTTAGGGAAAGAGAGAACAAATGGGTGGGTGGGTAGTGCTAGATCTAGGAGAGATTGGTTCAAGATTGATACAAAGGCGCCCCATAAAAAGTAGCTGACAGCTCGAAGAATAGGGCTGCGCTGATGCTATAGACTGGCGACATACTGGCCTAACGTGGTAGAGAATACGCAACTGTAGATGGCAAGGATCAATGGCACAGAAATGATCAAAATACGGGTTTACGGAACGGGACCATGCAGCTTTATCATTGCCTGCAGTTCGTGTCTAGACAGAAAGTACGGCAAAGCTATAAGTCAGTGGAATCAACAATACTCCGCCGGCACTAATTGCCTACCCACAGCCCCAGTAGTTATGAATTCCTCTAAAAAGAAATAGTTTTTATAGTACCCTCCCTCTAAAAAATGTACAAAACGCACCAGCCCCCCCCCCCCCCCAAACCCCCATACTCCCCCTCTCTCCACAACTACCAAACAGCCTTCTTCACCCCCGGAATGTTCCCCTCGCGCGCATTAAGACGGAATTGAAACTATCCCGCCCCCACCACACTCATTAGCCCTCCCCCCCCCTCCACCCATCCCCACCGGAAAGAGAAAAGAAAAAACTCACCCTCGACACCCTAAAATCCCTCATCACACCCCTCCCCTTCCCGCCCATGATGCACCGATTCTTGATCTTCATCGGCCGCGTGTTTGTGTCCATCTGCGCCAGCTCGATCATGGCCTTTGTGCGCTGCCTCAGCGGCAGGAGCGTGTTTTGCGAGATGTATCTATACCGCCATTAGCCTTCTACTCTTCTCGAAGGGTGGAGGGTCAATGGGGGGGGGGGGGGGAGGTGGGCAGGGAGAGGGAGAGGCAGACTTGAGTGCCTGCCGCGTCTGCTCCGCAGCCGCAAAGGCTTCGCGCTTTGCGTGGTCGCGCAGCGTGCGCACGTTGACGTAGCAGCCGAGCTGGAGGCGCTTGCCGAGGAGGGAGGCGGTGGGGAACATTGTGTGTGCGGGGTGTGTGTGTGCTGTGTGCTGTGCTGTGTGCTGTGCTGTGTATCTGCGGGCAGTGTGCGGTGTGCGGTGTGCGGGCGGCGGGAGTGCTGTGAGAGCGAGCGTCGTCGGAGGTGCCGGGTGTGGCGGGGGTGAGGTGAAGTGGGATGAAAAAGTGGCGCATGTGCTGCAGGGGTCGCGCCGGACTGACACTAACGCCTTTTGAGAGAATTGATAAGCAGCTGCAGGCAGGGCAATGATTATATTGATTAATATTTCCATCCATATAAAACCCAAGCTCTCCCACAGCTCTCACCACCTCCCATCACCCCCCCCCCCCCCATACACCACCCACCCTCACATACACCACCCACCCTCACATACACAAAAAGATGTCAACACCACTAAAACTCCTCTTCCTCCACGGCTACACGCAGTCCGGCCCGCTCTTCCACGCAAAGACCAAAGCGCTCGAGAAGCTCCTCCTCAAGTCGCTCCCCGCCGGCACAACACTCTCCTTCCCAACCGCGCCACACCTTCTCAAGCTCTCCGATCTCCCCGGGCACACTCCCGCCGCCAGCGCTGGTAACGAGGGCGGCGCGGAGGAGGAGGAGCAGAGCGCCGACAACTGGGCGTGGTGGCGGCGCAACGATGCGACGGGGGAGTACACGGGGCTTAACGAGACATGGGCGTTCCTGGGTAAGCTGCTGGACAGCGAGGTTAGTTCCCCACCCCCCCCCCCCCCCCCAACTCCCCTCGACGTCGAAGCAATAGCTAGGGACATGCATGGTGACTGATTACTCTGTGTGGATCACCAGGGCCCCTTCGACGGCTGCATCGGCTTCTCCCAAGGCGGCGCCCTCACCTCCCTCCTCACCTCCCTCCTCGAGCCCGCGCACGCCCCCTCCCGGCCCGCATCCTTCACAACCACACACCCGCCCTTCCGCTTCAGCATCGTCTACAGCGGCTTCCGCGCGCCCAGCCCGCACTACGACTACTTCTACACGCCCAAGATCGCCACGCCGACGCTGCACTTTATCGGCTCCCTCGACACCGTCGTCGACGAGTCGCGCAGTCTTGCGCTCGTCCACGAGCATGCGGGCGAGCCGAGAGTCGTCTATCATCCCGGCGGACACTATCTGCCCGCCGGGAAGCAGTTTGCGAATGTTGTTGTGGGCTTTGTGAGGGAGCATGCGAAGCCGGTGGTGGGCGTGGAGGAGGAGGGGGTGGAGGATATGGATGTGCCGTTTTGAGTGGTGGACCTTGGGGGTTGGAGTGGAGTGGATAGATAGACTAGAATAGAGTATATATAGAAATAGAAATATACCTCCTGATATATGAGAATTGGGCTGTAAATGGTGTTGAGTACTGAATGGATAATTGTGGTGTTGAGCGCTGTCAATGATTGTGCAGAAACCCTAACCCACGGTCAATGGTCCGGTCAGCAGGAATGCCCGTCCACCGTGGCTATGCCAGGACACATAAAAGCTATCCAGAGAGCCCACTTCACTCCTCTCATCCAACCATCTCTCTCGACTACCATCAGCTCTTTGGTCTTTGGGGGAAGAACACCACCCAGTGTTTATCACCTTCAACTACCTAACCCCCCATCTCTGATCTGGCTTGGATCATATCACCCTCTCCCCATGTGATACAGATTCTGGTAAAAAGTATTGCGAAAGTAGGTTCTCTATTCCGACCCAATGGACCTATTAGCCCTTAAAAACGTTTTTTTTTTTTTTTTTTGCTGCGAGCACAGACTAACAAACCCACTCTTTTGGCTCCGACTTTCGCAATAATTCTTCCAGAAACTGTATGCTCGACGATAACTCATGTGCTTCTGAAGGGGGGTTTGGGGCACACAAAGCTCACCTCCTACTGGTCAGGTTCGTCTGGGGCCAGTGTTTGCCTAGAATAACTACTCTAAAATGTTAATCAGCCGGCTTGGCTACATCTCTGCAGGGAAGACGAGATCCGGGATCAATCAATCAACAGCTACTGAGTTTCTGCGGCACAGGATATCACTCGTATTGTCAACCTCACCAACACTTCTCGAACAGTGCTAATATTCACCACATATAAGGTATCCCAAGCTAAAACTACAAAAAAAACCAACCCATCTCCACCTTCACTCCCTCCCCCCCACTCCCTCCCCCACCTCCACAACACCCCCACCCACCGTTTTAATACTTCCTAAACAGCCCCACAATCGGCCCCACCACAAACAGCACCCACAAATCCCACCACATATGCACCCACGCCCTCACCGCCGCCTCCCTATTCAGCGCCCTCACAATCCTCCTCGAGAAAACCTCCACCTCCTCCATCTCGCCCACGCCCATCTCCATCACGCCCCCACTGCCCCTCGGCGCCACACACAGACTCCTCCCCATCACCCCGCGCTCACACACAAACCTCGCCGCCGCCTCGACCACATCCTCCACCAGCGCCCTCTCCAACCCCGCCAGGATCGTCCTCCCGCCCAGCGGCAAAATCGGCGTATCCACAAAATACGGACACACAATATTCATCCTTACCCCATCCCGCGCCGACGGATACAGGCGCAGCGAGCGGAAGAAGCCGAGCACTGCATGCTTGCTCGCCGAGTAGACGGCCATTGCAGGGCCTGCGGCGAACGAGGCGAGGCTGCCGAGGAAGAGGAGGTGGCGGTCCTGGCCCGGCGGTGTGCTCTTGAGGTGGTGGAGGGCGAGGCGGGCGGTGAAGATTGCGCCCTTGACGTTGACGTCGATGGTGGTCATTGGTGGCTCTGGCGGGTCGGTGTCGGGTGCGCCAGTGGGGGATTCGAAGTGGCCGACTTCGCCGACGCCGGCGTTGGCGATGATGGTGTTGAGGTGGCCGGAGGGGGAGAGGGCGAGGGCGGAGCGGAAGAAGGCGCATTGCGAGGGGTAGGAGACGACGTCGACATGGAGGAAGTGCAGGCTATGGTTCAGCAAGAGAGAGGTAAGTATACATCCGCCCTTCTTGCATCAAAATCGAGGACAATTGAGTATATATACTTTTCATTCCCCGTCGACTCCCGCAGCTCCTTGATCAGCGCCTCGCCGCGCGCCGTGTTTACATCCCCTATCACCACCGTCGCGCTTTTCACAATCGCTACCTGTCAGAGGACATTCTACTACTACTACCACTACAACAACACACTGACGGTGCAGGCATACCCGAGCGGTGCGAACCGACGCAGCATACCCTCGCCAATGCCCCTGGCGCCGCCGGTAATCACGATGGTGCTGCCCTTGACGGTGCTCTCGTCGTACGGCTTGCTCAGGTCAATGGGCGTCTGCGAGTACAGGACTTCGTCGGGCGTGAGGCCGAAGGGGCTGTCTGACATTTTGTAGATATAATGTGTTGTTAGGTTTGTGGAATATGGTGTTGGAGATGTTCAATCTGGGAATTAGAGAGAGTTATAGAAGAGAGAGAGATAGTAGAGAGAGAGATAGTAGAGAGAGAGAGATAAGGGGATAGAAGAAGGAGAGAGGAGAGATGTGTGAGGGATTTTCAATCATGGCTGACTGGAGGCTGGAGCTCAATAGCAGAGCTGAGAGGAGCCGGCCAGCCATATCTGTGGGGGGGGGGGGAAAGAAATTCTGCATATGATTGCATATGATTGTGGATGTCCCTGGGCCGCTCGATCCCTGACCGAGTTTTTCGTTAGCTTTGGGCCCCTGCATATATGGGGTTTAATTGGTTTATTGGCAGCAGCTGATAGCTGAAGTTGACACCTGAGGACAGAGGTGTGCAGATGCAGCAGATTAGATTAGATAGACAGGTGCAGCAGATAAGATAAGAGATAACAGTTGAAGCAACGACCGAGTGAGATCTGACGACACAGAACACAACATCTCCAATTGCAGCAACAATGATGGCCTCCAGAGCTGTCCCCAGGGCCCGTCTCCCTCTCCTGCTCCGCCCGCCCACAGCCCGCCCTCTCTCCTTCCTCCAGCCACACACCCGCCGTCCCCGCCTCCCCCACCTCCTCCGCCGCCACGCCCCCCCGCAAACCACGCCCCTCCCCCGCCCAACACTCCACAACACCGGCCACCACCCCCGCCTCATCTCCGCCAAAACACGCGAATACCTCCTCCGCGAATCCCTCATCGCAGCACGCATCGTCGTCGTCGGCTACACCGCAATCTTCGTCACCACCGTCCTCGCCTTCACCGGCGCCCTCCTCTACGTCGAGAGCACAAGCCCAACAGCACCCTCCCTCCCCCGCACCGCCCGCTTCGGCATCACCTTCGCCCGCGTGCTCCAGCGCTTCGCGCCGTCGCAGACATGGCTCGCCATCGAGGTCCTGCGCGACACGGTGCAGCGCATGCCGCCCTGGGACGGCCAGAGCGCGCAGTGGTGCCGCGGGTACATCTCGGCCATGAAGCTCCTCGCCGAGCTCCTCGAAGAGGAAGATCAACACGCCGAGGCGCGCGAGTGGTACCAGCGCATCCTGGACACGCCGCGGGAGCGCGACGACGACGCGGAGTGGGCCGACCTGAAGGTTGCTGCTGCGCTGCGGGTTAGCAGGATTGCGGCGTTTATGGGCGATATGGAGGGTGCGGAGAGGGCGCTGGTGAGGGGGGTTGAGTGTACGGTGCCGCTGGGGGAGGAGGATGGGGGGGTGTTTCCGGCGTCGTCGGTGGAGGGGTTGAAGGCGTCGACGGAGTTGGGGGTGTTTTATGCGCGCTGTGAGAGGGAGCCGGAGGCGCTGGAGATCTTTACGAGGGTGTTGGCGGCGAGGAGGAGGGTGCTGCCGCCGGTGGACCCGGCGGATTCGAAGGCTGCGGAGGTGGTCAGTGATCCGTGTGCGGAGGCGGTGACGATGGCGTACATTGGGGAGGTCATGTTTTCCATGGGGGACCGCCAGCAGGGGGTGGCGTGGAGTAAGGAAGCGTATGATCGGAGTGAGCCATTGGCGCAGTTGCGAGGAAAGTGCAAGGAGTGTGCATTGGTTGCGGCAAAGAACATTTCTGCTATGATCAAGTTGATGGAGGAGGGGCAGAATGAACAGAAGGAGAAAAAGAGCAGCTGGAGATTGTTTTCGGGGGCTAGTAAAGCGGAAGAGAAGGAGAACTTGGGAGAGTGGGAGAATAGGGTGTTGAGGCTGGAAAGTATTAGGGCCACGAAAGGGGCTTAGATCTGGTAATTAATTGTATATCATGGGGATATCCCCCTTTCTTGTGAAAATATTGTAGTTTTGTGGGAATAATATTTCCGGTGTTATGGCGTTTCTTCTTCTGATGGGTCCGTATTTAGCTGCTTCTCTTCCCAATAATTCATTAGTAATTAACTTATCGAGAGAGAATTGTTAAATGAACATTTACCAATATGAACCGTTTTACCGGGGAGGCTCTGGGGGTGATATTCCTCATGATGATATATTTCTATAAATGTCGAACGACATTTCATCCGATTTCAAAATTAATAGCCAGGGCAAGCTCACGTCCAACCCAAGTTGGATAGTACGCTATGAATTCTTTACTAATATCCAGCTTTGTACGTAGTAACGATGTCTACTCACTTATAATTAGCCAGATATATAATTCGCTATGAGATGTCCGTACTAGAGTGGCTTGTGCAGTCATCTAAAGTTACTCGAGTAGCTTGTGCAGTAATCCAAAGTTCCTAGCTCCTATTACTATTCCATGATCCACTTATTGAACCGAGCTATACTATCGAGATACGTATTAGCCTTGTAAAACAGCACCCACAATCCATCCAGTACGTATGCAATAGTATCGATATCATGTTGCGGTAGTGAGCTCCCCCCCCCCCCCCCGGACTGGACAAATCCTCAGATATTCACTTCTATAACGTCGCGCATGCACGTATTGGTAGCTCCATGCAATTTCAATACTAGAACTTACCAGTTAATTCTCATCTCACGAACTTCCGGTCATTTAGAATGGGCTTAACTCAATCTTTCACTTGAATCTGCTGCATTTTTAGTCCTAGTCAGGCAATCAGCTCTGTACTAGCAATATAGTATAGAATATCGGTCCTGTGGAGGTCACATATGGTGTAAAAGATGGTGGAATCAAATATGGAGTTGACGCCTTCGCCCCCACTACTAGTTATCTCTTTGGTCTCCACGTGGCCTTTCTAAATGATGTTGGTAGTGAAGCAGCCGTCTATGGTTTAGAGTCCAATAGTGGGCTTAAGCTCATTGAACTAGACCTCATCGTGGGCCTATTGTGGAGCCCGTCCTGGATATCTGTGGATAAAATAGAATACGGTACATTCTTGTAGTCCAGTCTGCGTGCTCAATGGACTTGCAGTTGCTTGAGTACATGTAAATACGTACTCATAGAGGCAAGTGTAATGGAAAGGTGAAGGCTTCACTTACGTTAGTGGTATTTAAAAGCCCTCTCGGAAGGCCTCTATCATATGTGGCTAAACTTCTGAAACGTGCTCATCTAAGACTGCGGTATGCAAAATTGTTCCATAGCTTCTTATTATTTCTTCTTAGGCGTACAAGCATTACAAAGATCCAGGAGATGTGAAAAACGAGCCTATCCGCACACCTTATAATTACTCACTTGCAGCCAGGTGTTTTCCTTCACCTGCTCCCTTCTCCCCGCCGCATCCACAACGACTACATCTGCTTCCTCTTCACCCGGCTCCTCCAACGCCTCAAACTGACTCTTCACCAGCGTCGCCTCAAAGAAATGACCCTTCCTCCCTTTAACCCGCTCTATCACAACCTCGCTCGTCAAACGCAAGTAAACAAACCTCACTTGAACATTACCGCCTACATTCCTCATGACATCGCGATACTTCCTCTTGAGACACGAGCATGCAACCACAGCTCCTCCCGGAGCAGCAACCGCAGCATCCCGGAGAGTGTTGAGCCAGCCCCATCGATCATCGTCCGTGAGCGGTATGCCGGCACTCATCTTTTTGATATTCGCCGGAGGGTGAAACTGCATGATCTGTCAGCTGAGCTAGCTAGCTACTCAACCATAGAGAGAGCCCGCGAAGGGAACATTACATCATCGCCCTCAATATAGGGGAGACTGAGCTTCGCCGAGAGAAAGGAGGCAATGGTGGATTTTCCGCAGCCGCCAGGGCCGATAATATACCATACAGTGCGCATGACTAGTTTTTGAGAACTTGAGGGCTCCATGTCGTTCTTACCACTGCTATTAATGCTCGTGATGGTGGGCTCTAAGACCTGCCGCATATATAGGTCCGAGTGACATCGTGTGATTCTATTGCGGGACATGGATCATTGTTGGGTTCACGATATCTGCATTGAAGGAGCAGATAATGACTCTCTATAAACGAAGAGACAAAGCATATACATTCCTATCTGGATCTTTTGCTGCCGAACATTGAACCCCCCCCCCCCCCCACGCATCTGAACCTATAAATTCGCCAATATATAGAAACAGAAACCCACCAGCCGCGTGCGCCCGGATCAATGTCGCACCGGTTTACAACTACCATTAATGATAGTTCTATAGTCTTCTCTCGAACCATCTCGGCTAATAAGAATTCCCGAGTGGTCAAAAAAAAGAATTAGGTTAGGACGTTGGAATATAGGCTACTTTGAGACGATACGGGTACCTACTGATTGTTTGCGCGATGTACAGTCCTTGAAATTCTAAACGAGTGACTGCACGGCACAGTGGGGGGGAGTTGGTGCAATATCCCGTACAACTTTCCCCCACTCTTGTAAGACTCTGTCCAAGTCTCAAAATCCTGACGCTTCTCTGGTAAGGAACATCGGGAGAAATCATCAGGCATCACTCGCATATAGGAACCCGCGCTAAGCTATATACTTATCCCTGTCTAATCTATATACTTATCCCTGTCTAATCTATATAAGGTTAGTAACCAAGCCCCTGTCTAATCTATTCGGCCGCGCGAGTATATAACGTTAGTAACCAAGTACCTAGTCGACGCCATGCAGCACAACAGCACACAAAGTGTTTATTAAGACTTACTAGAAACGAAACAACAAGCGCTAATAGCTCAGTTGGGAGAGCGTCAGACTGAAGTTAACCAGTCACAAATCTGAAGGTCACCCGTTCGATCCGGGTTTGGCGCATTACATTTTTTTCCCACTCTCCTTCTCAAATCGTCAAAATTACTATTATATCAACCCGCTCATATAGGCATAGCACGGCTGAAAAGTAACAAACCGGTTCGTTTTGGGTCTTAGTAGTCTACCACGCCATCTTAACACGCTACTATTTTTCTTCTACCCGTATCCAATTCAGTTCGAAATTTGCTTTTTTTTCCCCTTGCTACATAAAACTTCATGTCCCAGAAACTCAATGCATCGTATGCCACATATTGATCCCTAAATAACCAAACTTACAAGAAGAAAAATCAAACCTGCGCCTAAGAAATGAATTGAAAAAGCAATAAAAAAGCAATTAACGCCATAAACTTCAATACCCGGGTCCTGCCCTTACGAAAAGTGCAGGCGAAAACTACAAACGAAAACGCGCCCGCCCGCCCCGCCCGCCCGAGAAATGAACATGGGGCCATGAAAAAAACAAAGCTCCCGAAAAATTACAAAAGCAGTAAAATGCATACAATAAAAAGCTAAAAGAAAAAAGAAAAATTTTTTGTTTTGTTGGGGAAAATACGGCAGTTATTGCGAAAACAGCTCTCGAGCAACTTTGCTCAAGTCCGATAAGGCCAGTTCCTCAGTCCTGGATTGTACCCAATCCTCAGTACGCAGCAGGGGCCCATTTAGCGAGAATCGTAAAAACCCGTAGTCTTCAGCAAAGTCTGGATCTTTTGCGGCTAGCTCTCTGCAGCCGCTGAATTCGAGGTATTGGAGTGCAATTAAGCTGGCCCAGATGCCGTTGCGGGCCCATTTGCGGATGTCTGGGAGCATGATGGATTGTTCGTGTTGCTGAAGGGTCGAAAGTGGAATGCCTATTGTCCTGGAGAAGGACTCATTGAGCTCTAGAAACATACTCGACGAGTTTCGGAGCTGATCATCGAGTTCATAGACGAGAGTGCGGGGATCTACTGGTGCTAGCTGTCTCTGTTGCAGCTTGAAGGGCGAGGTATTGTGCGGAGAATATTGTGGTGTTGATGGGGGTGTTAGAAGCATTGATTTGGTTGAGGATGAGGTTGCTGAAGCTCGTCGGGGGATGTTAACGACAGCTGCCCGGGTTGGTGATACGGCTTGGGCGGTCTCCTAAATTGGGTCTTAGCATTGGGATATGGGACGAAAGATCGGTGAGAAACGTACCACAGAGGAATCGTAGAAGGTTCCAACGGTTAAACGAGGTGTATGAGGTCCATCCGAAAGTTCCCCTTCAGAGTAAAAGACTTCGTTTGAGTCCTCGGGATCCGAGTCGTCGTACCAGGTAAACCGAGAGGATACATAGGAATCCATAGAATCTCGAATTCTTGTCCAGTCTGCAACTAACTCCATCGACGGAACGCTCTCTAAGCAGTCGTAGAAGATCTCCTCTCCCTCCCCCTCCCCCTCCCCCCCTCCCCCTTCGTTGTCGGCCCCGTCCTCCTCTCCATACCTGTACACATGAGTTCCTTCGGCCCCATACACCTCGCCTTCCTCCATGTCTTCATCCTCCTGATCACCGTAATTACTTCCATTATCGCTTTCGGTAAAAAGGAACGACCGCCCCGCAAAGTGATCATCATCGTCGTCGTCTTCAACGTCACACCATGTTATTCCTGTCGTGCAGCTCCGAGATTCGTAGTCCTGGTAACTCGGGGTGTGACACTCCGATACATCTGTCCCATCATTCTGGAAACACTCGCTAAAATCTGTAAACCCTCCCTCCGATTCAGAATCGTTATCTGAGAAATTCTCGGTAAAGAAGGTGAGCTGGAAATCGTCGTTTCCCTGTTACGTGTTCAATGTCAGCGGCTGGACCAAACTGAAATTTCCTAAAACACAGAGGACAGCTATCATAGTTACTTACTGGAACAACTGGCTCATTAACTTCGATAGTCGCTGTATTTAATTCGATATCCGTGCTTATCGAGTGTGAATCGGAACGCACATCCAGGATCTGGCCAGGCATAGCCGACTCAACGTTGAATGAAAATATCGCTGCGTTTTCCACTGGATACATCTCATGAGCTCTTGTCACCATTCCCCCCTTTAGGGACGAAGGAAGAGGAACGGAGAGGTGGACAGCGTTTTCTTCGACAACTGTTTCATAAATGTAGCTGGTATACACGTCAGAAGGTGCTTCCGGTTACTGCTGGCTGCAGCAGCACAGATAAATAGGGAACATGCGGATCGGAAGAATAGAGACAACACCAACCGAATAAATATGACCGCGTCCTTTCCAGCCTCCACACGCCCAACGTTACACTGGAAGAACGAGCCGAAATGTAATATATTCGAACATTTTCTAGGCTCGAGTCGCTCTTCGGGATCCCCCGATATCAATTTGTCGGTACACTTTTCGACACTACAATCGATGAAAGTTACAGAAGAGTCTTCGGCGAGACGACAATGGAACACCGCATCTGCAAAGTCGTTCCGGGATGTATTCTGGAACAAGAACCCCAGGGATACAAGGTTTCGAAGTCCATGTATTGACACCTCAACAGAACAATGGATAAGTGAAGCCGGGCAAGCCGTACCCCTCTCGTCGTAGAGTCCGGTGAAAGGCATATTACTTAGGGCCATTGTATAATATATTCCTTCTCCCGCTCAGGCTGATCGGAACTCTCGAGGAAACGCAGGTAAAAAGAGTGAATATCACCGGAAGAAACCCTTTGCTTGCTACGTTTGACTCGACAGCACAGAAGGAAAAAAAAAAAATGGCCAAGTCACTGCAGTTCCCATCGCAAGGAGTCGGGACAGGTTTCTTATACATTTGCCTCAACCAGGCCGCAAAGAGAGATGATTGCGGCATCAATAGTTCCTACCCACCACTTGGAGCAAGGGCCATTGAGCGCGAGAAGAATAGGAGACGGCGAATCGCACCAAGCAAAGTGGAGATCACAAAGGCTACCCCGCAAGAGTTTTTTTCACCGTAAGCTGCAAGACAGATTGGAGGTTGGGTGTTGTGTGTGGACCAGCCAGCTTCCCGACATCAACAACGCCTCCAGACCCCTGTCCTCGATTTGAATTGGTCCCAGCTTAGGAACCTGTCGATGTTCTCGGTTACCATCCCAGAAAAAGCCACACGCCGATCTTTCGGTGCAAGGTTTCTTCAAACGTTCTTACCATGATACGATGCAAGGCAGCAAACCGTGAAACAATAGAGTATCTACCTACCTAACCTATATGTACCTATCTCTCGTGAGGTATTGACCTCCTTCATATATTTACTTCATCTTACGGGTAGAAATATCATTCACTGAAGGTATTGTGTATTATACATATCCTCTAGGCCTCCTTTGTGGCAAAAGCCCTGTCGAGTGTGTGTTGAAGTTGTGCGCGCAAAAAAGACGTGAGCACGGAAATTGCTCGTTCTATGAATACTGTAAACGAAACAAAGTGCTTGAACGTAATTTGTCGGAAGGCAAAGTTGCCTAGGAAACGTGCATTATTGTCATCGCGCTTAATATCAGAGTCTTGATGTTGGTGGCTTTTCCAACAGAGACAGACAGGCGCTGGGGCCTCACGTTAAACGTTTAGTTGCTGGAGGCTGGCTGCCAAATGGAGTGTTGAATACTTTAAGGCAACATAGACTAGCTAGATTTGGAGTCTAACTGGTATGTCTCACAACCAAAAGTAGCATGGCTACTAAAAGCAATGACCAAGACTTAGCAGCTACGCAGCCCTACTCTATGTAGAGTACCCACGCCGCATCAAAATCAAAACTTTCAAAAACACTTCCTATTGTTGCCGCCGCGTCACTGCTAGCTGAGTGATGTTTCTACTCGGAGCAAGGGCTTGAAGTCACTGAATCCCGTATTCTCTTGTATGTACTATGCGGAGATGAACCCTTCCAGACGCCGGTCGAGAACAATAACGTAGGTGGAGTTCTTTAGGGGTCACGATCCATCTTTGTGAAATCTAGCCATCCCGGGGAAGATCATCGGTGGCTAGAATTATAGGCAAATATTAATGGGATGCTCAAAAATAGATACTCATGCAAGGAATCATTACTCGTGCATGCAACTCATCTGGTTACCATCGATCCTGCATCTGTTCTATCGTTCTTTCAATCGCCCTTAGGAATGGGAAATGATCAACGAGAAGAAGTCATAATAGGGTTGGGGAGCACTCCGCGCTCCTGGGTTGGTGGCTCAAAGTAGAAAATTGTATCCGAAGACCCCAAAGTAGTTATAAAAGCACATATTACATTCCAGAATCTTTACTTGGTCTAGCAATCTTTTGCCCCCTTGAAGGTCGCCTCTTGATAGCAACAATTTCTTCATTCCCAAACTCTCTTTTCCTGTTGCAGATAGAGAAGGGGGAAATTCTGGACCTAAAGCTTCCTTGAACCGAATTCCAGAAATTTAAAACGATTTAAAAAGAAAGAAAAAGAAAAGAAAAAAGACCTAAAACTGGATTATGATTCTTTACAAGGTTGTTACAGGTATCTTTGACACGGAGAAAAAACGATTGGATATACAAGATCACATATCCCAAGTACCAGCTTTACCCATGGCTTCTCGCTTTTCCATCTGCTCAATCCATTCATCCCTGTCCGGAGCGTCACCGACGATGATAGGGACATCTGGATTGCAGTTATCGGGGTCGATATGGGCGTCTCTTAGATATTCGATGATTAGGTCGTGGCATTCAGGGACAATCGCTTGAGCATGCTTTGTGCCTAATAGGAACGGGTGAGTATAGGTATCTCTTCCAAGATCGAATGAGGTTTAACAACATACCTGTCGAGAAAGTAGCACAACCATATCGAGGGTCAAGGAGGAACTCCCCTTTGGGATCACTATGGACTACATAGTTACGAACTCGCTATTTTTCTGTCAGTGCTTATAAGTAGTCGAATGGAATAATAACATACGAGCATGAAGAATTTGCGAAGGTCCTCACACGTGATACTTGCAATGGCATGCGAGGATTCAGAAAACGCCATGACAAACATCTGGTCACTCCATTCGTCCCCTATTGAAACAATTAGCATTGTGCCCTACTTTATTTGAGGGTAATACCCACAATTTTCATTCAAAAACTTGGTGATGGCATAAGCAGTAAATCCACAGGCGATGACATCAATCTCAACATCCTTGGGGGCCCTGTCCTTCAAGATTCTGTTGAAAACATATTCTACATGCTCCTCTGGGGTTTCGTTGCACGGGATGGTGTTCTTGATAGGGTCCAGGATTGCCGTTTTTTTATCCTTAGCCTTCCAGGAGAGATGAGTCATAGCTCTTCTAGTTTCGGGGTCCCAAACCGTCTCCGCCGGGTTTAGGATGACAACAGAATAGCCATTCTTGAAGGCAAAATCAACAGTAGATACCATAGAGCCAAACTACCCGCTATTGTCAGTGCTGAGAAAGAGAAGGATTGTGGTATGTTTTACGTTAATTGAACCCTGCTGTATTTGACGCATTCCCCAAATACCCAAATTGCTTCCATAAGAATCAGGTGTAAGGATCAATAGCTTTTTGCATGTGTCCAGGTTATCTGAAACAAGAATATCCAAGTGGGGTTCTTCTGGGGTTGCCCCGAGTGGAAGTGTTAGTCTTTTCATCCCACGTTGTTCAAGACGGTCCATAACAATCCTGCGGATGCATTCTGTTTTATAATCAATAAATGTGTTTGAAATTTAAAACTGGAGAGAGCAACACACCATCAACAGCTTCACGACGGCGCTCGTTCATTCTCTCTCTTTCTCTTGGAGGGGCCGTTTGCTTCCTTCCGTAAACATATCCATTTGATTTACCGTGGAAATAATATTCGAATCCCTCGTCAGGCTTGTCAATTTGGCGCAATTGATCATTCTCGTTGAAGAAGAGTCTTTAGAGTCAAGAACATGTGTCAGTATGATGATGCAATTGCACATTCAAATCAGAGCCGCATAAACGATTGACGTCAGGGAAAACTTACCCTAACTTCTCAAGATCAGCGGGGAATTCCACCTCCTTAACCTTCACGGGTTTAACTTTTCGTCGGTACATTTTGGGATTAAAGAGCTTTGGCTGTAAAGAGTGAAGAAGGAACTGAAGGTTAACGTTGGGTTTGAGAAGCTGGGCTCTCTTTATTTTGCGCGTCAAAACGGCCGCCTAAATTTACCTCAGGCCGCCCACAAACACAAGCAACCACCCCGCGCTAACGAGCTACCTTGTTCCCCACGTTTTTGGCATGTCGCGTGTCATCGATGCCTTAATCTCGTCAGCCTTAATCTCGTCAACCTCAATCATCTTTGTTTCTGCAGATTACGGCAAACTGTGATGCAAGTTGAGGTGGGCTCCCCTATTCCTGCACCCTATCAGCCATCTTCTACAGAGCATTCGCTCACCCCAACGATTTCATTAGACTTGCTGTGCCAATCTGTGAAAACCCCTTAATATTAGGTTTTTCTATAGAATCTATCTTACAGATTTTTGGATCAACGCTATGAAAAATCTTAGACAGGAAGAATATTGACAACAAGAATATATAACCGTCATGAACGTATCGAAAAAGAACGCCGTATTGCACCCCAAAATGAATAACAGCCCCGGTGCTCGTGCAAAGTCAATGAAAATAGAAACGACAGATTATGCACCCACGAAAGCGAAAAGCAAAAATCCCTTTTTAACCCAATGCACTATGATGACTTTTTTTTGGTGGGATCCCAGGTTAAACGGAAACAGCAGATGCGGACTGTTGTGTCTCGACGTTTCGCAGGGCTTCTACAAGAGCTTCCTCCTTGTCTTTCAACTCTTGTGCTCTCAGAAATTGGGCATATTTCGATCGCTTATTGTGAATACCACACTCGGTCTTGTTGGTACCTTTCCAGCGTCCAGCACGCTCATCCTCGCCTTCCTTGATTGGGCTATATAGAGGTTAGTTGAAGGTACAGAAAAGTTTAAGCGATAAAACTAACCTAGTGCTGTGCCAGTCACCAACGCTCTTGTAACCCTGGTCCAACAGAGAGTTGTATGGAACGTTGTGTTCATCAACGTATGCTTTGACCTGTTGAAAGGACCAGTTTGCCATTGGGTTCACCTTCACCAAACCGGCATCATCCACCTCGATGATATCAAGATCACCTCTCTTTCCACCCTGACTCCTCCTACGCCCCGTGAGGACAGCCTTTACACGAAGCTCGGAATAGGCACGTTGTGCAGGTTCAACCTTAGCGAGGTAGTCGTACAGGTTATCGTTGGTTTCCCATAATTTCTCGCCGTTGGTTTTCTCGAAATCTGCAGCAGTCTCGCAGCCTAAAGGCTTGTACACATGCAAGTTGGTAGATGGATATTGCTTCTTGACACGGTCGACAAGTTCGAGGGTTTCTTTAAAGTGGTAGAGAGTATCGAGAAAGATAAGGTCGATTTGACGTTTGGTACCAGCGTTAATCTTGGATAGCATATCCAGGGTTACCAACCCGGTGAGGCCAAATGCGGTTGTTTGGTGCAGGCCAGGAAGAGAGATCAGGCACCAGCGGAGAATTTCTTCAAAGAAAGAAATAACCATTAGTACAAGAAATGGATAAGACATAAACAAAGAACGTCATGGTAAAGGATTTAATCTTACCTTGTGGCTCGAGATTTGCCAACTGTTCATTCAGGTACTTTAGATGAGGTCTCGAAAAGTAGATTTCGGGCAATCCACCAGTGCTTGACCCTGGTGAAGCATAACCAGATTCCCCATCTTGAGAAAATGACCTTTCCGGGCGCTCGGAAACATACTCAGAAGCCTGGGTCATAGTCATGATGTAATTTTTCAGGTATTCTTTTTTAAAAGAAAAAAAAAATCTGGGGTAATAATTATTTTAATTGTTAGGAGAAAAGACGGATGATTATGGTAACGGATGAGGAGACTTTGGGGGGAGGATTAGGTATCTAATAGAAGAAGGAAGGCTGTGTGGGGGACAAGTAATCTGAGGCAATGGGGATGAATTAACCCGCATTTACAAAAAATCGCCATCATCATCTCTCATCTGTATTGTGCCTTAGAAATCGAGTGACAGGGACGATGGTTGAATTTCGTGTACGGATTGCGTGCTCAATATTGCTGGGGGATAGAAAGAAAATTGACGAGCTAAGCCTATTTCGTCGCTCAACCCTGGTTTGAATGGCAAGGGCCGATCGACAAGCAACCAAATTGAGACCTGTGTGACGCAACATTGCAACAGTTACATCCATGGTACTGGAGAAATACCAAAAACTTCAATGATTATTGAAAAGACGTATAAAGACCGCTAAACCCGGTGAATTCACGAATCTTCTGTAAGCTCAGGTTGAAGATGTACGATCAGAGAATTTTGACTAAGCTAAGAAGTAAAGGACCTAATCCGAATAGCGGGGTTAACTAGGTTTTTCTTTTGATCTTCTTTATTCCGATCTGGGTTACTAGCCGTTTTTTTTATTTTGATGAACCCCCAAATATTAGTAAGATTCTCCTTTACGGGCTGCCCCACATTTCAATCAAGCCTCAGTTCCGTTCCGACCAAGTAGCGCTTTGCAATCTGTCTCAATTGCTCGGCTTCCTTCTCCCCGATGTTTTTCCTTCCGATCACGGCATCTTTGGCCGAGCTCAACACCCCCAAGTCTGTATCCGCTATCTGTCCTCTCTTGCCCAAGTCCTTCAAAAGTTTTGGAACGTATTTTCTGTCATAAAAAGCGATTCATACCACCAGTAATGTTAACCTCGTTCGCCCAGCAAATTGGGAGTGACCTCATATTTATCCATTATTGCGCAAGTACCGGTAGGCCCAGCCGTGGATATTGAGAAAATGACGAGGGGTCTCAACGTACCCTGTAGCTTTCAAGATGCCCGATGCCTTTGAAGAATGAAGTATGATAATTGCCAAAAGAAGCATCAGAGATGGGTCCCTGGTACCTTCAAGCTGCAGTTGCATCTCATCTAATATACCCCGCTTTCTTTTCCCCAGCTCATCCTCAGATGGAAGCTCGAAAGCTAGATCCTGTTGTATTAGTTTTGTCAGGCCATTTTCGATTTCTTTGAGTGCAAGATGTGGTTTCGCTGATTCAGCTCTTATTACTAGCCTCAACTGTTGTAAGTCTAATGGTTTGTCGCCGTGAATAAGAGCAGATTCAAGCTTATCCAAACTGCTAGAGATCATTCCTTTGGCATATTCCAGTAAATCGCTGGCCAGCTTGGTCTTTAATGAAGCGTCTACCAGCGCATCCAGTCCAAGGTGGTGAAGGTGAAACCGCGTATAGCACTTCTCGACGAAAACACCTTCCGCAATTCGGATCTCAGAGTCCTTAAGTTCCCGGAGGCGCACAGAAAATGCCAACGACACTTGAGGATGAAGTGCATTTACGAAATATGATAATAAGGGCGTCGGGAGAGACTCGTTTTTGGCGGCAAGATGTTTAAAAAGCTGATGCGTCACATTCCGTCAGTAGGTTGTTTGACGGATATCAACATATCAGTGAAACAAATTGTGCTTTATCATACCTCTTGAGACCTGAGCGATACATCCTTGTCCTTGGATCTCTTCTTCCATGCCAATTCAGCTTGTTGCACAGCAAATTCACGACAGGCCTCAGCCAAGATAGGTTCAAGGTCTTTTGACACAATTCTTTCGGTGATTTCTCTGAGTTCCGGAAGGTCTTTCACAATCACCTGACGTAGAAGCTTTTCGTCTGCTGCATTCAATCGAAGATCGAGATCCTTTCATTCAAATGAAGAAAATCCGTCACTGAGTATAAAACTGTCTTTTCTGGGGTGTATGAGCAATTGAGTGGAACTCACCTTCAGATCACTCCACATCTGCCGTTCGATATGTTCAAGAACTGATCCTTCAACACTGGCGATGAAGTCGGCAGTTACAAAGTGAGCCCCAAGTAAGCGTGCACTCGGGACTTTGTCGCGGATAAACTCTTCAGGGTTTTCGATCCCTCCTTTTCTCAGAGTTTCCGTAGCTGCCACATAGCAAGTTAGCAATATGAAAACGTGCAAAATATCCATAAGGTTTAAGGTACCAATAAATCCATCTCTACGTAGATCATCCGCGATTGAATTCTGACGTTGAACCACATATGCTTCTGGCACGTAGTAACCACCCTCTATTACTCCCTTCAGACCTCGTGACTTGATAAGTGTTGATACTACTGTCTTCAGAAATATTGATGGTAGGTTGCTATCCGCTACAATTGCAGGCATATCGACAGGTCTAACCCAAAATCAGCCCAGTTCAGCTCAGAAAACCCAATTGGGACCTTTAAGTGGCAGTACTTTGTGGGGCATGCCACATAAAGCCAACACAGCAAACAGACCTTTTCTCATCTATAAGCGATTTTTGGATATCCCGCTCCTTGGCCTTGTAAAATGCCGTACCCACGACCCAGGTTCTATCGTGTCCCAACCACTGCCATGTGCCTTCTCCGGCCACGGGAGGAAGAAGCTTACGAAACAAGTCTGCGTCGATCTCATTTCGACGGCAAAATTCTGCAACTTGCACCACTCCATTAAGAAGTTCCCTCGAAAGGTCTCCACTTAGTCGTTTGAATTCGCCCCTGCACATATCCGTGAGTTTCCCTCAACTCAGAGCATTATTTCTTAAGATGAACAGATGGAATGGAAACCCAAACATGCTTACGTCGTCACAATTGTTGAGGCACCTATTCTGCCCCATCCTTCACGATGATACGGTAGTAGCCTTTCAATTGTTCTAGGCTCTAGCGACAATTCTGAAGCAAGCTGAACAATTGAAGTACGGGGCCGTTCTATTACAGCCCGATGGGCGGCGGGGAAGTCAGTGGACGAAGGAAACCAGCAGAATACGAGCTATATACGAATCTGTATGATTTCGCAGGATTACATCGCTCCGATCCAAGAACAGGCAAGAAATCAGGTTGCGGACTAGCACCTACCATTGCTTATATCACGGATTACCCGAGTCTCGATCTCTTCTTTTGCTGAGCGCTCCAAAATAATTCCCGTACCAGATAGTAGCTCAAGGTATGGAGGAGGCACAGGAATCTCCGGAGTGGCTAAAGGCGAAGATGACTGTGAGCTGTATCCTCGGAACAGTGCTTTGATGTCCTTGTCGGCGATCATTTAGACGGCGGAAAAGTCGTCTGCCGGGATAACTAGATACTGTGTGTAACTTTGGTGACGCTTTTTAGAACAAGGCTTTTAGGTGGTGACGAAGGGAGTTCGTTGTTTGCTTTCGCGATCCAGTGTTTTGACCGCTCAGTGGTGATCGGTTTACTTTGATTGATCCTGAGCTTCTCTTCGTGTAAAGTGGGTAGTAACACAGGCTTTGCCAAGCCTCATGAGCCTCATTATTCAAAGATCTTCCATTTGTCTAGCTAGAAAAGGTCATGCTCAATAGAGGGGTTCTTTGCAGTTGACACTCCCCGCAACGTTGATGAAGTTGTTCTAGCCAATAATTCCCCTATACCAAGATCTTTTATGGCTTCAATTCATGGTGCTCGCTTGTTTCACTTGTGGCTCTTCTGTTGCTGCCCGCCGAGCCGTGAAATCGGCGAACAGCCTAATGGATTAATGGATACCCGGAACAGGAAAGGAGTAAATAAAAAAACTTCCACCAGACCAAGAGTAGGGGGACACGGATATGATCTGTTACCTACCTACATATCACGATCAACAGCTACTTGGAGGTAATTACGCCTAGGGCAGCACGACAGCAGCAGTTCATCCTTCAATCTACCGTATTGCTCACCTCCGCGTTCGTTTCATCTTTGTTTCCTCCAATTGCACCCACCCAAGAATCGGATTCTGAAGATCAGTCCGATTGGTTAGTTGCAAAGACGGGTTGAGTGTTCGTCACCTTCTGCTGGTTTCCCAATCCCTCCTACAGGAAAGCAAGGAGATCAAAAAAAGAGGGAGAAAACAAAGAAAGGGACCACTGAGTTGATACAGAAGCAGAACAGAGCAGTCTTCCGGGTCAGCGAGGGAGACGGCATATTCCGTCTTGCGTCCTCCCCCCACTCTTTTTGATCACTCACTGCCATTCAGTTCGCCAACCCCCCGTCTTCATATTTCTAGTCCCCAAACAACAGCCTTATAGTAGACTGTTCTTGCCTGTCACTTCTCCAAATTACGACTACTCACAAAAAAAACCAAAAAAAAAAAACCCTAAATCAAACCGATATCATATCACTATTTCTCTTCAATCAATATATCAAGACAGAATCGAGGTTTTCAGATTTATCAGCCACAATGGAATCCGGAGGAGCAGACACGTCCCCGAAAATTCCCAGCGGGGCTTGTAATGTAGTTACAATGGCAGCCAGCCAGAAGGGCCTGCAGGGCGATGTACAAAATCCTAAGGAAACCAACGAGGATTCCATCGAAGTATTCCAGAAAACCATTATACCTGTGCCTGTGCACGTCATGTCCCATGCCAATTGCAGCCCTGCAAGCTCCTCCCGCGGCGTCATCGCGACATTATTTCGCAAAAAGTTAATTAGCCCGGACTCGGAATCTTCCGAAGATTCCACTTATGGTGCTCGTGTCTCTGATATGGCAGTATTCGAATTTATGGCTCTAATTGATGCTATGAGAGTTCCGTGGAGTAAGGAATCTTCAAATCATAAGTGCCTCCATACAATAACGGCATCTGATAATACGCCGGCCCCTATGGTTATGGAAATAGCCTTCTGCATGCCAGAGATTCTGAAGCTTGATGAGCTTCGCCGACACACAGACTTCTGGCAGTTCGAGAAGAAATGGAACATCGAAATAGCTTTTCAAGAGAACGATGTTTTCAGA